CATTTGATCTCACCCAGCGTGTCACTCGGGCTCTGTAAACAGGACAATTGGTGTTGTTTTCATTGCCTGTCTGGATGCATTTCAAGAGGTGTCAGCACTCTGTGGGTTCTGTTACAGCTTTATTGTTGCTTCAGATCATACAGAGGCAGCTATAAAAGCCAGAGAAATTCAATTATGCAGATGAGATGCAATAGCAATAGTGACTGTGAGAGCTGCACATTTCTGTTTGTAATGAGTCACCTGTTTAGGACTGAAACTCCTTGATGATCATCTCTCATGTGGAGATCTCCATCACCCAGCATTTCCCTGATAAATTGGTGAGCACAGGTGACCATCTCAGTGTGGCACATCCTGGGGACCCAACAGGATTTAACATCACAGCAGAGAAACCACACATCAAATGGCAAGAGGATTTCTGCCATATTAAAGACTGAGGCTGGTTTACTCACCATCAGTTCCCTGCTAGACATGGCCAATAAATCCTTACAAGGTGACTGAAATACCCAGACTGCAGCAAGAGCAAACTCCAAGTGATATTTCCTTTGTCAGTACAGATTGGAAACAATGAATCAAGTTTATGTCCCATCCTCTGCAATCTCAAGACTGTAAATATCCACTTTTTTCATTTTTCCTTTTTCTTATAAAACCTCCAAATACAACACTGGATATGTAAAACAATATTTTCCCTTGGGTAAATACAGTAAAATCCAATCAAGAGCGAAAACCTTCACTGTGGCTTCCTCCCAGCTCCTTGGTGTAAGTGCTGCTGTAAGGAGAGCAAGGATTCCCCTCTTCCATTGGGGTGCAAATCCCAAACTGCAGGGAGTGCAAAAACACCCCACGAACATTGGAACCTCTGCATCATCCCATCAGTTAAAATTCAGGGAAAATGTTGTTATAGACAGAACACGTTCAAGGAATGACATCCCACATGAAAAATAAACTGGGACTTCTTACAAAAAAAAATTACTCAGACAGAAGCATTAATTTGAACAGACAACTCCATAAAATAAGAACTTCTACTTAATAAGATAATAACTCACTACTGGGTTAGTTGGGAGCAGTGAAGGAACCGACGGCTGTAAATGCTGTTCAGCCTCAGCAATGTCACATCAGCCACCCCACTGCCACACCAACATGGACCCAGCTCCTTCCAGCCCCACTGCAAGAGGCAGCACACACATCCTGGAGGGAATACAACATTCCAAAATTCTCTACAGCCAAAAAAACCTTTCCATCTATTTTTCTTTATTTAACAGGTTTAAAACATATAAAACCAGAAAACTATAATATCAGTAAAACAGAAAACTATAGTATCAAAGTTGAAATAGTGCATGTAATTTTCATTTAAATAATTTCAATTTATTAGCTGTGTCCACAATTAAAACCAAAAATCCTCAGGCTAAGTCAGAAGTGGCCAATTGGTACAAATTTCTGTCACTGGACCAGGGGGACACAGCTGAAGGATACAGGCACACTGAACTCCTCCTGGATGAGCTTGTTTTATCTTTCTTATCTTTTATCTTTCTTTATTCTTTTATCTTTCTTCATCTTTCTTGGCACATTCTGCTTTCCAAACAAAAGGCAAGTTTCCCCCAAGTTTTTCAGAAGTTCACTTGATTGGTTTTAGGAAATGTGTGATGATATTTCCATCTGGTTTGGAAACCAGGGACTGGAGCTCAGCCCGGGATGGACTCGTGGAGGAGGAAAATCCCTCCTCAGTTCTCACCTGCATTTCCAGCCCCCCAGCAAGGCTACAGCATTCAAAAGCAAGGACAACCCCACTTTTATGTCAAATTGCAATTTTTAATGTTTTCATTAGAATAATCTTTATAGCACTCTCCAATAGAAGAAACAATATACCTAACAGCAAACTTTAATACAGGAACATGCTCCAAGATTAACAACCCAAAATGAAAACAAAATGAAATTAATGTAAAATGTAAATCACATATAGTACAATTGAAGTGTCCAAAACAATTTAAATAATTTTAAATATTTTATTTTCTTAAACTTGCTACAAATGCTTTATACAATATTTCAACATAAAGTCCCCATAACAGAAATGTAACAAAATGGGAATGATAGTGAAAGTGAAAGTTAAAGTGGCACAAATTCACCAAACAAGTATTAAACTACAAATTTTAAAGAGGTAGATTACTTTTTAAGAACAAAAAATAAAAGGGGTGTCTGTATAAAGAAACTTTCCATCCATTCTGTCATTAATTGTGAAAGCTCTATGAACACGTGACAAACAGTATTTCCATAAAAAGCTGTTATGAACAATAGACCAATTCATTGTCTTAAATTAGAGGTGTACAAGCTTTTAGAATAATTATATATTTCATTTTCAAAATATGCAGGTCTCTAGCCCTGCTCTAGCCTTCTTATCCATAAAAAGATACACTGCATCCATTATATATCTGGTGTTTAGAAATTCATCACTGCTATATAAATTTTATTTGCATGTGTAAATAAGAACTTGGAAAATCCATAAAACATCCAAATCAGGCTTTTTTTCCCACTGTATCCTGGACATGAAAAGACTCAGAAAGTGAGGAGAAGGTGGGAAGGGAATTCTGCCCTGCAGGAAGGGAATTCTGCCCTGCAGGTTGGCCTCTGCTGACTCACTGAGACAAAAAGCTTTGAGACAATGCATGACCAAATCCTTGGAGTGCAGCAACTGCTGGCCCTGAATCCTCACTGATTCCTGGAGGGAACCTGCTCTGGGGATGGACAACAAAATCTGCCAAGCACAGCAACTGAACTGCCCAACAGCACCCACAAAACCAAGAGCAAAAAGATTTGGTTCAGTTCATTCCTTCTGCTGATTTCCTGTGGGTTCCATTTGTGTTTGATTAACAGTACCCTTGAATTTAATCTGAATTATCCCACGTGTGTCAAGCACAAAATAAGAAAATCTAAGCCTGACACTGCAGGCAATTTTATGGCTGTGAGTTTCACAAGCTTGGATTTCACATCCCTTGGTGTAGTGCTTATCCTGCAACAGCTCTCATGGCATTAAGGGATTTTTTTGTTTTGTTTTTACAGGAGATTCCTAGAAAATACAAATAAAAAAACCCCAACAAAACAAAAACTGAAGATAAATGGCAAAACAATTTGTGAACAAGTATGTTTACACAGAAAAACTGAAAGGTGAAAAACAAATTGGCAAACAAATATACATGAAGCGAGTCTTGAAAAAATATTAAGATTTCCTGGAAAAAAAAAAAAATCAAAACCCAACAATGCCTACATAGAGCAGAATCAAAGTTAAACTGTGCTGACATTTGTGTATGAAGGCAGAAAAATTCTTCATACTGCAGAAGTGATATAAAAAGAATTTGAGTAGACAATCTAGATTTATAAAAGTTACTTCAGAGGCAAGAAGAATTCCTGGTGTAACCATTTGTTAAACTGATCAAGACTCCAAGCAGCCAAAGCAAACCAGGGGTGTTTGAGGCAGCCAAGGAAACCTTGCCCCAGGTCAATTGTTATTTCCCCAAATGCTACAAAACAATTCCCATGTGCACCCATTTCCAAGTACTTGGATATTTTGCCTAAGGTCAAATGATTCATTGAGATGGAAAGATGTGTTTTGGCTTCTCATTCTACTGATCTGTTCTGGCAGCACTTAAATGCAGCTTCACACATAACTAAAGGGAGCAGCTGATGAGAATTAACATGAAGATGTTTATGTCCCAAGGGAGACATTTCTTGTTCCTAAAAGGCATTTTTACACCATTAGTCTCCAAATTCCAAATAACATTTTTCTCCTTCAACATCTCCTAATTTGGGTATGGATTATTTTGAGTCAAATTCCCCTGCAGCACTTGGGAATAATTCTGCTATACTGAACACCTTTACTTTCCCAAGAATTTCCTCACTCTTTGGAGATGCTCCCTGTGAGACACACGAGCTGTGAACAGTTTGGGTTTTGACAATGAACAGATCCTGCCCTGTCTGTTCTGACAGAGGCTGCCAATTCCTCCCCCTCCTTCCCATTCAAACCCTACCCTGGCCCGAAATCTGCTGTTAATTACCAACCCCAAAAGAACTCTTAATTACCAGTGAGCTTGGTGAAAGTTCCTCAGCAAATCAGACTCTTGTTTCCAAGAAAAACAGGGCAGGAGCAAGGTAACAAAGGTTATAAACACTGTGCAAAATATACTATTGATTTGAGAGACTACATGAAAACGTAAATCGGGACTCAGGCACGTAGATTAAGATTTTTTATTTATTTATTTATTGAAGGATTACCCTTTCTTGTGATTAAAATGCTTCTTCTCAAAAAGAAATAGAACTTTAATTATAAAGTTTTATAGTGAAACATAAAAAGCATGATACTTCTAACAAATTTACATGTTCATGTAACTTTTCTTACATGTCTATTTCCCTTATATTAAGTATTTTATGATCTCAGTCCGTATGCACATACATTTTTGAAGTATTTGGTCATGGTTTGTTTCTTTCATATATATATATATATGCAGAGAATGCTTTTTATTACAAACCAAAGCAAGTTATTTTAGTGAGTAAAGAATGCAGTCATGTTTTTTAACTTAGTGAACCACCATAAATAAATCTAGAATGCTTCTGGGCTACCTTAGATGTCAGATACCAAATACAAGGTCAGTGTCTCCAATAACATTGAGTTTAATGACATGAAGTTTATTTGCACTCAGGTATTGACATTTTTTTTTTCCAGAGTTTTCAATTCAGTTTATAATTAAAGACATTCTCTATACAAACCGTGTATAATTTCATGACATGACAAAATGCATCAAGTATGTACATCATACCCCAGCATCAGTAAGCTGCTCATCCATGTTTTAGGAAATGCAACTTCTTTTTTTATTTAAGCATGAGAAACTCAAAAAAAAAAAAAAAAAAAGAAAAAAAAAAAAAAAAAAAAAAAAAAAAAAAAAAAAAAAAGACCAGCAAGCAAAACAGCAAGCAACGTGTTCCTGGGTTGTTTCAACTTCAAATTAAATGCTTACCTGAAATCTTTCAGTTCTTGCTTTGCACTGCTTTCATCTCTTTTGTTTTCTGCTGCTTCTGCATTTGCTGCCTGCTGCAGACTCCGTGTGATTGGTCCTCCAATCCTCTCTCTAGATTTTACACTGAACCTGTCTGCCTTTTTCTTACTTGCCACAGCAGATTTACTTGGCAAAACAGCTTTGCTATTCCTTTGTATTCTGACGTGCAATTTCCGGGAGGCTTTGCTGGAGATTCCAGAGGAATTGTTCTTAGAAACCACTTTAGTTTTTTTCCCATCAACATGGGACATTTTAGACACTCTTACAGGACTAGAGTTCCTCAAGGATGAAGATGAATTTGGCTTTTTCGATCGCATGGAAGGTACGAATTTAACGTTTTGTTTGGATTTGAAGGAGGCAGAGGGGAGCTGGAGCTGTGCAGGTCCTGAGGTTCGTGCTCTGGTCTTGCCCAGGTGAGGCTGAGTGCTCTGCATTTTGATTTCTGCATCCGCCGTCCGCCTGCGCTGGTTGCTGCCTTTGTCACTGCTGGCAGGGGAAGAAGCTGCACTTTTTTTGGAAGAATTCTTTTTGGAGGAGGGAGAGATGGGTTTTTTGGGGCAGCTGTATGATGCGTGTTTGTTCAAACTCCCAATGTAAGTGAACTCTCTGTTACAGTAGGGGCAGATGTGGGAGTCTGTCTCGGATGGGTTATTTTTCAGCTCTGCCTTCTGCTGGGCAGATTTCTTTTTTTGCAGGATAGCTTTTTGTACAAGCTGGTTTTTCTTTTTCAATGCACTTATTTTTAGTTTGTTGGAGGACATTTTGCTAATCTCCACATTGAAATTGAGTCTTTTAGGCTGACCCATCCTTCTGAAGGCGTTTTTGCCAGGCCCAGCAATGACCACCATGCCATTCTTAGGCTGCACTGTCTGTTTGAGGGGAACTGGATTTTTTTTAGGTGTGTATCTCTTTTTATCACTAGCAGATGCACAGGCCAGTATGTGTTTGTGTAACTCAGGCATGTTATCAACACTTTTGCCACATTTTGTGCATCGAATGGCAGTGGTGAAAGTCTGTGGGATATTATGGGTTGTGAAGTTTGTTGCAGTAACTCCAATCCCCATAGGATTCCGATGGTGATACTGGAAGGGAGGTGGTTTAAAGCTTGGGTAGTGTTGATTGAGGCCCATCCGGACATCTGGATCTTTAGATTTCACTCCAGAAGCCATTATTTTTATAGTAGTATAAAGCTCTTCAGAAGAATCATTTAGATCTTCATCTTCCTCCTCTTTTGAAGGCTCCAAAGAATCTTCTGGCAGGTTCTGCATGTGCTCTGCATTTGCCTTACTGGGGTCAGTAAAATTCTGGGGTCTCAAAGTCCCACTTTCAAACTCATGATGTGTGCACTCCTTGTCTGGATGGAGATCCCGTTGATGCTGTTGCAAATTGCACAAAAAAGCAAATTCCTTTTTACACACCGAACAAACAAAGATATTCCCTACTCCATGAAGCAGAAAGCGATGTTCTGACAAGTCTGTTTTATCCCTAAAAAGCTGTACACAGAATTCACATTTGAAGGGCCATTCCTCAGCATGAATGGATAAATGCTTCGTTAGGTCTTTGATGGAAAGGAAAGGTGACTCGCAGACATTGCACACAAAGCTCTTGTTGAAGGTTTCCTGCACCACTCCTGATTCACCTGAAGTGTGAGGCTCCTCTCTCGCTTTCTGCTGCTCGCTTTCAGCTTCCTCCTGTTTTATTATTGGGAGAGAACTTTCAAGGTTATCAGCAGAGGAAACAACAGAAGAAACTACAGAAAGAGGAGGTGGAGATGGAGACGATGAGGAGGAAGAGGATGAGAAAGAGGAGGAAGAGGAGGAGGAAGATGAGGAAGACAGGTTAGGGGGGCCAGGTGAAGCAGCAGAAATAAGAGGTTCAACAGAAGGGACGGGGGACGGAGAAGGAGAAACTGTAGGTGAAAGAACTGGTAATGGGGACTGGGTGGTAGTGTTGGAGAGTGGTGAGGGACAGGAGGAGGTGTTGGTGGCACTGGCAGAGACATCAGGGATGGGCAAGGGCATGGTTGGGAGCAGGGGGGGCGGCGACGTGGCCGCGGTCAGCACGGGCAGGCAGGGCGGGGGGGAGGGGGGGTTGGTGGGCGTTAACAGCGGGGGCAGCTGGCACCCAGCGGGGGCAGCAGGCGGCACAGCGGGCACAGGGGAGGCAGCAGAGGAGCTGAGGGGCTGGGTGGCAGCGGCAGCCGCTGCTGAGGGAGCAGGGTCAGTGCCAGGCTCAGGCGGGGGCTGCGGGGCCGGGCCGGCGCTGTCGGTGCCCGGCTGCTCCGCGGCTGCGTCCGTCCCGTTGTACTCGTTGAGCAGAACCTTCTGCAGCATGCACGTGGTGGGCTTCTTCCTCTTCACCCCGCTGCACGTCGCAGGGCTGGAGTTCTCTTTGCATTCCCTCGTTTCAGCATCGCTGCACGGCTTCTTGTGCACACTCAGATCTAAAACGGATTCCCAGGGAACCTGAGTCTTGCTTTTGACATCAGACCTCTGTTTCATACCGCTGGATAAATCCAGGGGCTGCTGGTTGCACACATTGCCAAAAGTTGGAGCTGCTGTCCAGTCTTTTGATATTTTATATTCTTCAAAGCAATGAGGGCTCAAAGTCTCTTTGTCCTCCCTTGCAGCCAAGCTCCAAGCAGGTGAGTTGCTGTGGCTTTCTAACTTTGGCATTTTTGAACTCCTAATATTGTCGTTCCACACAGTTTTTCCCTCACCTGATTTGACAAAGTCTCGAAGCACTGGACTGTGCTGTGGAGAGCTGGGAGGAGAGCTGGTCCTTCTTTTAAACCTGCTGGATACTGGAGGCAAAACAGATGATGATGTAACAGAAGGTCCTATTTTAGGGATTTCACTTGATGGAGTTATCTTCTTACTGTCCTGTGTCTGAAGAAGCTGCTTTAATTTTGATGACAAATAAACCCCTTTTTCTTTATGAAAAGTTAAGCTTTCTGTTGAAATGCTAAGAGGAAGATTTAAAGAACTAGTAGGAGTTATAGGTTCAGGGTCTATTTCAGTTTTTATTTTTGGTACAAGAGGAGGGCTGGCAGTTCTTCTCTTTTTGGATTCACTGCTCCCACTGCTAGAGGGTTCCTTAGGAGGTTCATTCACATGTGTTTGTGTAACCTTTAAATTTGTGGAAATTTCCACTGTGACCGGACTGATTATACAATTCAATCCATACAAGTCTGCAGAGTTGGACTCCATCTGAATCACATCACAATTGCTAGTGCTGCTGTTGGACTGAATTTTCCCATCAATGTAGTAATTTAAATTCTCAGAGATATTGCTGGATATATCCATAAGATAGACATCATCTCCCTCACCTTCCTCTTCTATTTCTGTGCTTGCTATGTACACACTCTGGACGGCTGGGGCCGGCTCTGTTGGGAGAGGTGGCTCCTCAGTGAAGAACCCTTTTCTCCTGACACCTTTGGGAATAAGATGACGCTCGTGAACCCTGCGCTGATGCCTCCTCATGTTGGTGTGAGTACCAAAAACCTTTTTGCAGTATTTGCACGGATGCAATTCTTTGGGCTCCTTATTCTCCTCAGCAAACGCTGAGTTTGACATTTCCTGGGAAACTTTCTCAGAATCCAAGACAACAGAGTCTTGCACGAGACTGGAAACATTCAGGTCATCTTTAAGACCATCATCCACAATCACCTGGTTATCAGCAACATTATCCAGGTGTTGTGAGGAGGTGAGAGTGAGGAATGGTTTCCTTTTGGGCCCGGCCTCGTGGCGCCGCTCGTGCCGGCGCCGGTTGATCTGAGTGCCGAAGGCTTTCCCGCAGTAGCGGCACTTGAAGGCGTGGCTCAGGGTGGAGATGTGGATGTGCATGTGGCGCTCCAGCCCCTGCTTTGTGGTGAACTTCCTCTCACAATGCTGGCAAGGAAACATGAAGGTTTCCTGAACATCACCGTTGGATTCCCCCTCTGCTTTTGGGATTTTCACCACGAGTTTTTTCTTTGGAGAGCTTTCTGGAGATTCCTCTGACGTACTCTTTTGTTCTTCCATGGAGTCCAACTTTTCTTCACATATCAAAGGCATTTCAGCATTTTCTTTAGGCATATTGGTATCTTCTATCTCCTCTTCATCTTCCTCTTCTTCATCCTCCTCTTCATCGTCATCTAAATCATCTGATGCACAATTTATGGCTTCTCCTTGTTTTTCTTCAGTTATCACTTGTGTTTCGTTGGTGGGACTGGGGACCATCAGCTTTGGAAGGACATCCTGATTTACCATCTCCTGAATCACAGCTGTTTGCTCCAGAGACAGCACAGCAGAAACAGAAGGAGCTTCATCTTCCTCTTTGTGACCTGGAACACAAGAGTGCAAGAAAGAAAAGCATGAGATATGTTTACCAAACACATGCTACACCTTTCTTCTCCTTTTTTCTTCTAGCACAACATATCCAACATTCCTGACACAAGACAATATCAAACTTCTCATTTATTTACTTGTGTGGATGGTTGTTTTCCTGCAGGCAAGTCCTACCTGTCTGTTCTCAGGGATATCCATTGCTGAAGAAAAGAAGGCCAGGGTTCTGAGCAACCTGAACTACTGAAAGGCGTCCCTGTCCATGGCAGGGGGTGGAAGAAGATAAGCTTAAAGGTCCCTTCCAACCCAAAATGTTCTGTGATTCTGCAGTGATTCCAGGATTCTGTGATTCTTTGCTGCCAATCCCCACCATGTTGCCTAAGTGGGTACATTACAGAGCAAAAATCCTTCTCCATTCCTTAGCTGGGCCATGAGACACCTGAGCAGGGGTGCTCATGTTGTGGGACACGAAGGGACAACAGAGGGAAGGAATGGAAGAGTTATGGGTCAAATGAATTAATATTTTTTCTCCCTTGGTACTGACTTTGTTAATTAGCAATAAATAATGACCATGAAACTAAGCTCCAAGACACTAGAATAAGGTTTTTGCTCTGATATTATCCTGTAAGGAGTTTGTGTTTATATCTCAATTTTGCAGCACATTAGTTTTTCCTGTGGTCAGAGCTGCATGTTTAATGACATGCTTCTAACAGCCAAGTTCCCAACTAGTAAAACAATTGGGGTAAATGATACAAACATGTTCAGTTTGCTACAGTAGGATAACCTGCTAATGGACTAAACAGGACAAGCATCCTTTGCTTCAAAAAAATAAGAGAAGGAAAAAATAATACACTTGAGAACTCACCTTCTTTAGAATCCCTCATATCTGCAGAAGTAGAATCCAAATCAGTCTTTTTCTGTTTTGTATCTGCTGCCTTCTTTCCCTTGTTTTTACTTTCCTGAGTCTTCTTCTTTCCTAGTGGGAAAAAAGCATTTATTATTCTTGCTTAACAGTTTTTATTTGTCATGTATCAGTGGCAGATTTAAACCTTCAGCTTTGGAGTACAACAAACTCCTGCAGAGACCCTGTAGGAGAACAGACAGCATTCAGGTAAAAAACTTCACACACTTTTCTCACTTCCAAAGCAAGAACAAACCACCTGTCCAGGATTAAGCAGCTCACACAATGCAGGTCCCCAATCCCTTAATGTGGCCACAAAATTCCTAAATCTCACAGAAGTGTATGGAAAATAGAAAATCTCTTCATACACAATTAATCCTAATGTTAATTGGAAAACCTTACAAAATAGAAACCCATAGAGGTTTATTTTCATTGTATAAACATTTTGAATGATGAGAAGAGTTAGGATAAAGACAATGAAGTAATACCACTATGAGAAGATTGAAAGCAGCTTCACAACCAGGGCAAAGGCAGTACAACCAAATGAGATGGAACTGGGTAACAGAAAACACTGAAGGTATTTGGATGGGTCCTGACACAAACACCACTTTCAAGTTATCACTTTTTGTTAAGAAAATGAAGAAGGATGGATTAGTTGAAGAGGATGATGAACACAAAAGGGCATTATATGCCAAGAGCTGACCATGCTGTAAGATGTAAACTGAAAACTTCATTTTCCACTGCACTACAAAGTACTGCTGATTTTTGCCACTAATGTTATAGATTGAGGCCTATAACATACAGAAATTATGATAAGGGGTGTGTCACAAATGAAATTTTATGGATTTTCATTCCCTTCATTGCAGACTGTACTCTCCACACAGAATACAGAAAACATGACTGAAACTCCACAGTTCTACACAAAACTCTTGGGAAGAACTGTCCAGAAGCCCAAACTCCTCCTGTGCCCCCTCTAACACACAAATTCCACTTTATAACACACTGCCCATTCCCTCTGATCAGAAATGGCCATCACAGCCCTAAATCCATTTCCTAGCTAGAAGCACATTCTTCCACGTCACAATCCTGTCAAACTCCTCCTTTTTACCCCTTGAAAATATTTCTCACATCCTGAGCCAAGAAACTGAAATGCCTTAGAAAAAAAAAAATCCTCTGTTGCAGGAAGTTCCAAGTACAAACAAATACCCCCCAAGAGAACAGCTCAGACAGCCTCACTTGTTTTGATTTCACCAAACTAAATCATTATCTATATTTCCTCTCAAGGGGCTCAGATTTCATAGGCCATCCCCAAATTCCACTGTGTTTCAGTTTTATGTATATAATAAACATTTTTTGATTTCTTATCTGATTTTACAGATTTCACTCTTATAACCTGACAACAGTCACTCAGACTGAGTTTTTGTCACCTTTGGACAAGACACACACATTCTCCTAGCAATATTCTCTGAATATTCTCAATTATTGTTATGATGCCCAAGTCTAACCTGCCATAAAGGACCAATCCTGGATTGTTTGAACAACACAACACTGAATTTTGCTTTTGTACCAAACACCTGTGACTGTCAGAAGATTTTAGCACATACCTGGGTGCTCACATAGGCATGAGGAAGTTAAAAACATCTTTCCTTAAGTGACAAGCTACTGAAAGTCCAATTTAAACACCACTTTTTATTATCAGCACCTTTAATGCTCATTATTACAACCAACACTACCAAGATCTGAGCATGAAGGATATCAAAGAAGTTTCCAGAAGTATCTCTCAAGTCACTTGAAATTCTCTGCGAATGTTCAGTAACACAATCCAAAAGTTCCCCTTCTAAGGAAAAAGTGGAAATATAAGATTTCAACACATTCCTAGGAATCAAACATGCATCACAATGCACCTTATGAGTGACATAACAAATCATACATCATTCCTAGAACCTTAAGAACTCTCAAATTTTTTGCAGACCACGTAACATCTGAAGACCACTATCAGTATCTTGCCCTCAAAGCAACAAAATTCTTGATTGGAAACAAGAATTAAAAGGTTGGTGCCCAGGCCCCTCTCACCTGCCAAACCTGACACATGCTCAGAAACTTTTTCTTCCCACAGTGCAATTCTGCATCTAACTCTACAGCAGCCCTGAATTTCAGCACAACAACAGGTTACTGTCAAAGTCTCCAAATTAATTCTTTTTTCTAACAATATTGGCAATATACTGTGCTCTTTCAAGGGTGAGGTAAAGTATGAAAAGGCACCAACACAAATCTCAAGTGCTAAAGCATGCAGATATGTTTCAAAGTGTCATCCAGTTCGAGAATGTAAAATTTATAGTACCTCAAATCCAATGATAATCTGAGAAATCACTACAATAGCAGGATTTTCACACAAAATCGAGATATTGTGTCACATACCTTATGGTACTGATGGAAAGCAGAGCATTTGCAAGTTCTGCCAGTCCTAAAAAGAGATGCAGCTCTCTCATGATGTAACCTGGAGATGTTTCCAGTTCTTGGCCTTGGAGCACTGGTGCCTTTGAAGAGAGGATTCACCCAGCACCCAACTCGCCCTTTCTCTGAACAGTGAACGAACTCCTTGTGCACACACAACATTTCAGCTGTGTCAGATCAATTTCTGACACAAACCAATGAGAGACACCAAACATTGTAGATGGCTTTAGCTTGTTCATTTTCTAGGCTGCAGCTTTCTTTGGGAAGGTTCAAAGAATTCACTGCACTGAAACTTGAGTGACTGTCCCAGATGCACAATTCCATGGTCCTGACCATTCAACAGCACACACCCAGCAAGAGAATTTAAGAACAGAGTCATAGGTGATACTTCACTGCTTGCTCTCCCAGCTTTCATGTATTTGGAGTTCAGAAACTTTTTTAAGTGTCTGTTGATTGATTTTCTCTCATGAGTTCTCAAAGTGCTTTTAAAATCCTCATAAACTTGAACTTTCTTCCTGCAGATTTCCAATCAAAACACAACCTACAACTGATACAAATGATATCAATGAGTAGTCCAAGGCCTGTCCCTTGGTTTTCTCATTGTTTCAGAGGTCAGGAGTGAACTGAAGGCTGCAGGAGGGGAAATGCTCTGAACACAGAACCTGGTGGAAGCCTGAGTATAAGTACACACGTGCACTTACCATCAGGTTCCTGAAGGGTCCTACATGGCTGCTACGGCCAGCTGGATCCTCCACTTGGTCTAAACAAGAAAGATACAGGAATGAAACACAGGGAAAGTGAAATGGAAACAATGACAAAAGAATAAATGAAGGGCAGAACTTAATATGTGTGTAAGTGCCTTAGAAGAATTGTAAAAGAAAGATGCAAAGGAAAATGAATGAAATAAACAGATGGAAAGGAGGAACTTGTCTGTAGTGATGAAGATCAAAAGAGGAATTCACCAATTTGCAATTTGTCTTGCAACTTTCAACAGGGCTCCTTTTTCTCTCCTCTCCACTTCTCCTGAAGACAGCTCAGCCTTCACACCTTTACAATCCCTTTGTAACAGTGCAGCAGGCCCAGGAGAGCTCAGGCTGCTGCCATGGCCAGGGCATCAGCACTGCCACTAACTCTGAGCAGCTCAGATAACAACAGTGACAGTGTGAGAGAGGAGGAATCTTTATTTGCCCAAACTTCATCATTGATAAAACCAAGACACCTCTGAAGAAGCTACAATTAGCTGGGCTCAGACTTTTGTTGTTAACCAAACTACTAAGGGGATTATTAAACCACAGAGTTATTTCTGGTGGGATGGAATAAACCTACTCAGAAGCTGGGAGGGAAGACATTTAACACAGTCTTTCCATACACACTTGGAGCTGAACTCTATAATTAAATATTGCTCAACTGTACAAGATGCCATTGTCTTTAATAACCTTTAACTGCAGCACCAAACATGTTCACAGTTAAGATCATTAAGGAAGAAGGACATTCCCACCTGAGCTCAAACACTGCTTCAATCTCTTACAGAAATACAGAATGTGGACATTTGTCTCCCCAAAACTCTTGGGTTGATAAGGGAAAAGAATAATTGGTATGAACTGAAATTACTGTTCCTTCTTTGAGATCTGTAGCAAACAACTCTAACTGCAGCTCAGTAACAAACCCAGACCTTACCCATGAAAAGTACCA